TACACTTGTGAATTCTCGTACCAATGCTCTTGGTTACAATTGTTTCACCTAGTTTCAACTTGTCATTACTCCACTTATGGTTACTTATGCTTGAATCACTCTAAGTTGCCATCATTTGAGAACGACATTCCCGGGAAACCACCTTTCCCAACCTACTTTCCATCCACCACTATACCCACACAACCTTGTCAAATGGAGCTGTTGGTTTTACGACTTAGGGGTAGTCGTTCGGCAGGCCAACACTATCGTAAACACTAAGGGTTTTTAGGGTTTGAACTAAGTGAAGTCAAGAAAGATGGAGTACCGCGATGTTATTATTCGAAGAAAAATCCGACCCCTTACAAGGTGACCCTGTGGGGGTATTTATACAAGAGAATTAGCTTTCTACAAGGTAAGTAGGTCAAAGCGTAGAGCCGAATAAGCTATAGAATCTACCATAATTAGCGCATTAATTGCTACATTGAAAGAAGGAAGCTGCATGCTGATTAAGGAAAGGAATCCCACGAAATTCGCCATTTAACCGTCTATGGCTGCGCACTCGGTCGGGGATGCACCGATTACCTGATGAGGTAATCCGACTAGGGGGGCTGAGACACCCAGGCAAGGACGGTGCAACCGCCGAGCCTGGTCGCCCATCCAGGCCCTTCCAAGGGAGCTTGGCTGAAGACACGCCGAATACTGAGCCTAGTCGCCCACCCAAGTCCTCGGTGGGAAGCCGGTCGAGGACATGCCAACTACTGGGCCTAATCGCTATGCCTGAACCAGCCAGATCCTGTTTGGGTATGTGCTCATCTGTCGGCGGGTGCTTCGCACGACAAGCGGTAATAATGGGTGTAGCATTTTCCTTAATTCGCTAAGTGTTACGTCGTGCTCGGGCCTGACTGCTCTTCTACTCTCCAGGCTGGGTGCCCGATTTGGGGTATCTATCAGGTGCCATTGCTGGGGATGGCGAACAAGGTTGATTAAACTGTTTTGTTTGGTTATCATAAGAGTTGTATTGACAAGGATTCTAGGTTGTTCATATTTTCATTTTGTAAATATTTTCATTTTGTTACTTCATCCTAGGTTTTTCCCTTTTTCTTACTTTGTAAATATTTTCATTTTGTTACTTCATCCTAGGTTGTTCTCTTTTTCTTACTTTGTAAATATTTTCATTTTGTTACTTGATCTTGAAGTGAGCATACATAATTTGCATATATCAATTGCGCACAATCAACTACTTCTAGTTGCAAAACATTTGTTCGTTGAAATCTTATGTAGGACCAATCTCCCAAGATATATCCAAGGAGGTCACCAAAACATGATAAAACACCTACGTATGGACATCCACTCCATATAAGAGAGCCATTGAGACAAATCCCATCCTACAATCATAGACATCCACCATACACTTCCCACCACATATATGATTATCCACTTCCACCTCCACCTCCATATACCTACCCACCTCGCCTTACCAATTGGAAAGAGTTCATGCCTCATATTCATATGTTACCCAATACTATTAGCATCCAAATGAAAACCCACGGCATCCACCCACCCCATGTAATTTCAATACAAACAAAACATGTGAGCCATATAACTACCCACATTGGGGAAAACAACCCACAACCATTCAACCACCACTCCATGTTGATGAGGATTATGAGCTACTTGAAAAGAAAGTCCAAATACTCATACACCAAGCCAATGATTACGTGGCTAACATGAAAGCTACATTGAAAAGAGAAATAAAAGATGAGCTTGCCGCCTTTAGGAGAAAAACATTACAACCACTCAAGAATTTGGAAGACACACTTGCAAGAGTCATGATGGAAGTCACTAAAAGAGACCAAATAGAGGCCCAAGCAATTACATTGAGAAGTGGAAAGGCACTCCCTGAGGCAAGAAACAACAATGAAAATCATCCAAGAGATGTACATCCAAACAAGCTAATTGATTCCCCAAAGCCCAATGGGGTGGAAAAAGAACATGAGGAAAAGGAAGAAGAGCCATCAAGTGTGAACCATCAATCCAACAAAGGGATGGAGGTGGTGAATAATTAGCCTCTTACTCTGAAGCCATAAGTACCATTTCCTCAACGCTTCCAAAAAGATGTGGACAATGCGAAGTATTGCAAGTTCCTTCAAATGCTCAGACAACTTCACATAGACATGCCATTTGTAGATGCTCTTGGTGAGATGCCTTGATATGCCAAATGTTTGAAGGAACTCCTCTCAAACAAGAGGAAATTGGAAGAGTCGGCTACCATGATGCTAGGATAGGAGTGTTCAACCATCTTTCACAAGAAGATGCCATGGAAACTCAAGGATCTAGCGAGCTTCACTATCCCGTGTAATATTGGTGAGAAAAACTTTAACAAAGCATTAAATAACTTAGGAGCTATTATTAACTTGATGCCATATGCTCTTTACAAAGAAGTTGAATTTGGGTATTCTCAAGCCAACCCGGATTTGCATCCAATTAGCCGATAGGTGTACTAAGTACCCTCATGGTATTGTGGAAGACGTATAGCATGTGGTCTTGAATTGGAACGATTTTGGATGTGTATAGGAATATGTTAAAAAGTGATGTTATTTTGGTGCAAGGCCCTATGATGTGCGCACTTTAGTGTTTTGAAGGACTTTTGAACAAAGGATAGCATGTGGGCTTGAATTGGAGCAATTTTGGATGTGTAGCAGATGAGGCAACAGAACACCCGCCACGATGATGACAACAGTCATGGCAAAAGTTCAGCCCAACTACGACCCTATCACGACCGTGGTCGGGCACCTGGGCGCGATAAGTAAACCTGGCCACAATCATGGCAGGAGACGCGAGAAAGTTTAAAAGCCCGGGAAATTTATTTTTCAATGAAGAAGAATTCAATTGAGATTTTTCATCTGGGAGATTTTCTTTAGTCATCTAAAAACACTCTCAATTTCTAGAGAGAGAAAGTATTCTAGGTTTAAGAGTATTGACAACACTACTTGATCTTGGAGCAATTTCTCTTTACTTGTGGATTGGATTATACATTTGGATTGAAGTTTGGTAATATATTTATTTTCTATCTTTCAGATTCGTCTTCATCTCAATGATTTTCTTCAATTCAATTTGTTTTCAATCTATAATCATGACTGCCTAAATCTCTTGGGATTGGATTGAATTTTCATTGCAATGTGCTAGTGTGATTATGAACTGATGAATTGGAATTGTGTTTGTGACTATTTCTTTATTTCATGTTCGAAGTGGAAAGATTAGTTTGTATCTTTAGAGTTATGGACCAATTCCTTAGATAGTTTAAGATCTATCATGCTTGACAAGAGATTGCTAGTGTGATATAGCCCCATTCCACTTGCATTTCTCGCCTTAGATCCGAGAGGACATAGTTCGAAATGAGGTGTAGACAAGGTGTTTGATGAAATGACTCATAGGTGTAATGTTGACACTGAGGTACTTTTGTTATCGAAATATTACTACGAAAATAATATTTTTGAAAAAAAATAACAAGAACAAAATGAAAGGGTAAAAGGGCTAGGTTGTTAGCTCTTGTCGCGTGATACCTACACTATCCTTAAAACTTTATTTGCTACTTCCAAAGGTGCTAAGAGCATTGTATCCTAGGTTTCTTAGGAGAAAACAAGCTATAGTTCTATTTTTGAGCATTCAAACAAAAGAACCCCGCGAACAAAAACAAGGGATGAACACAGAAAGGTCTTAGATGAGGTTGTGCAGAGATTTGATAACTAAAAATGTAGGAATCTTGTCTCAAAATTGTGTTTCTCAACCATGCTTATATAGGAGAAGGAGGATAAATAGCATTTTAAAAAGCAAAAGAATACTCTATCTAAACTTATGAATGATCATGGGGATTGGGTGGAAGGGGATGCTATGACGAATGTTATTCTGGGATACTTTGAGAATATTTTTAGCACCGCCAACCCAGACAATGGGGTTGCTTTCTTTGAAAAAGTTTCCCCACGGGTAACACATACACATAATGAGACCCTGCTACGCCCTTTTGTGGCAGAAAAGGTTAAGGCAGTACTTCTTTCAATGTTCCCTGATAAAGCGCCTGTGCCTGATGGGATGAACGCGTGGTTCTATCAACATTTTTGGGATGTGGTGGGTGTGGATGTTTCGAAGTTTGTAGTGGATTCATTGAATTCTCGTTCCTTCCCCCTGGTTTAAATGATACGGATGTTGTTTTGATTCCTAAGAAAAATACCCCTAAGTTAGTATCTGATATCACTTAGGCCTATTGCCTTGAGTAATGTGGTTTATAGAATTATGGAAAAGATGATGTCTAACAGGATGAAAGCCACTCATGGGAGAAATCATATCTGACTCACAGAGTGCCTTTATACCTGATAGATTAATTACAGATAATATCCTGATAGCGGCAGAGGTTGGTCATTTTTTGAATAGAAAACAGTGTGGGGCTGTTAGTTGGGGTGCTCTCAAACTGGATATGGCTAAAGCGTATGACCGTATAGAATGGTTGTTTCTGCGTAATATGTTGGTGGCACTGGGTTTTGATCACAGATGGGTAGAATTTGTTATGCTATGTGTGACAACTATTTCGTATAGCTTCTTGATAAATGGCTCCCGCAGTAGCTGAGTGGCGCCAACCCGTGGCCTGCGCCAGGGTGATCCGATGTCCCCATATCTGTTTATTATCTGTGCAGAAGGGCTGTCGTTATTATTACAACAGGCACAAGCTAGTGGCGTCATCCATGGTTGTAGAGTGGCTAGGGGTGCTCCCCCTATTTTCCATTTATTTTTTGCAGATGATAGCCTATTATTCTTTAAGGACAACTCGCAGGAGGCTACTGAGATTAAGAACTGTTTGACTGTGTATGAGGATTTATTGGACAGGTGGTGAACTATCACAAGTCTAGTATTTCCTACAGTAAAAACACAGGATACCAGGACAGGGATGAAGTGGCACAGATCTAGGGGTTCTCCAGGCTCCTAATTTTGGAAAATATTTGGAACTTCCATCTTTCATAGGAAGAAATATGGAAGCAGCCTTCTCATATATTGAGGATAAAATCAGGCAGAGAATAGGTTCCTGGAACAAGAAACTACTTTCACATGCTAGTAAGGAAATTCCGTTGAAAAGTGTAGCACAAGCTATGCCTACCTTCACAATGGGCGTTTTTTTGCTACCTGTATCTGTTTGCACACCAATTGAACGGACTATGAATCGATACTTGTGGGGTTCAGGAACGGATGGTGGAATACACTGGAAAGTATGGGATAGGTTATGCATCCCGAAAAAAATATGGTGGTTTGGGTTTCAAGGATCTTCGTGCCTTTAACCTAGCTATGTTGGGTAAACAGGCATGGCAGATGCTTTTTAAACCAGAATCTTTAGTGGCTCGTGTCTATAAAGCAAGATACTATCCTAAGGGGTCATTTTATGAAGCAAACCTAGGGAATAATTCCAGTTTTTGTTGGCGGAGTATCATGGCAGCTAAGTGTTTAATCTGTAGTGGGGTCAGACGAAGAATCGGGGATGGAGAGACTACACTTATATGGGCTCATCCCTGGATGCAGGATGAACAGGAACCTATGATACAGACTGAGATGCCTCCACAACTGACTGATGCCAGAGTTGTGGGATTAATTGACCAGGATACATGCTCATGGGACTATTCTATTTTAACTGATTAATTTGAACTGGCTGATGTGTCTCGCATTACGAAAATACCTGTATCCCCAGATTATGAAGACACTTGGTATTGGTATGGAGACCCAAAAGAAGTTATTCAGTTAAAAGTGGCTATAGGTGATTTATTGGAAATTATGAGGAAAATAATGGGACTTTTGATAAATGGCTTGCCTTATGGAAACTGAAAATCCCCCAAATGGAAACCTTTCTATGGAGAGCTATTAGAGATATCCTTCCCACTACTAGAAACTTGCTTATAAAGAGAGTAGAGGTGGATCCGATGTGTGCCATGTGTGGTTTACTATATGAAGACTCTATGCATGTCTTGGTGTTGTGTGATTATGCAAAAACCATATGGAATCAATCCAACCTTCAAATTCCAAATATTATCACAAATATTTTTCATATATGGTTTAGTGAACTCTTAAATGTTCTAGAACCTAATGGAATTATCTATGCAGCAGCCATACTATATCATATTTGGAGGGCGCGGAATGGAGCGGTCTGGGACGCGTGCCTCCCATGGCCGAAGAAACTGCTTGCGGCAACCACCGCAACAATGCAGGCTTGGAACCATACACATTCCGCCACTACCACGCAGCAACCGGTCGTGCACCCTGCGATAGCTCACTTGCCGCCACCCCATGCAGATCGCACTACATGCTCACCAAGTCACCACCTCGCTACAGCTGTTGTGCCGAGAAATATGTTACTGCCAAGGTTTTTCGTATGGATGCTGGCTACCACCACACAACGAGCAAGCCAACGGCGGGAGCCATCCTTCTCGACATGGATGGAAGATATATCTCTGCCTTCAATGCTCCACTAGTAGATTGTTCATCACCGCTTATGGTCGAAGCCTTTGCATGCAAAGAGATTTTGTCATAGTTAAAGGATCGAGGAGAGCGGTCCGTAGAGCTTTACACAGATTGCCAGATACTTCAGCGATATCTCACATTGCCACCGTCTACAGTTTGCTCGTACATCGACTATGCCATTAATAGCTGCAAAGCATTGTTGTCTTTTTTTTTTTATTACTATTCAGTCAATTTTATTTCTAGATCGGATAATGTTTTAGCACATACTTTAGCTTTTACCGCTTTCCATCATTCTACTGCTATGTACTGGGATAAGTTCCCACCTGACTCTATTGCAGCTTATTTCAATTAAATATACCACAAATTATTTTCAAAAAAAAAATTAGCATTTATCATGGCATTTATACTGATAATAAAATCAACCTGTGGAACTTTAAAAACCAGACGACCATTAACCTGGAGATTAATTCTAAAATTTAAAATTGGAATTAATATGAAATTAATCTCGTAAGTATCAACATACACGTCTTAAGTTTTTTCAAGCTTATTTTGGGATTTAATTTGCACCCCCCCTGCAAATGAGAGAGATTCTCTACAATATACAATTCAATATGCTTTAAAAAGGCTCTTGTATATATAGTGGCGCAAACCCACTTCCCAAACCAATATGGGATAAAGCCTACTTTAAAGCCTTACCTCCTTCATTTTTCAACTCAAATGGGTCTACTTGAGCATTAATTTCTCATTCACCTATTATCCGTTTTGAAAATACAATATATCAATCTCTTCCTCTCACTACGAGGAATTCGAATCCACTTTGACCCGACCCAAATTAGAAGTAGACCCTACTGATATTTATACCACAAAAATGCTACTTTCAATGCCATTTTTGCTATTTTTTCCAACAATCCCCCACATGAATGAAGAATAATTGATTTTCGGGGCATTTTAAAAACGGAACGACTGTGTTTAACGGTCGATCCCTACATAGGATAGGTAGGTGTTACCCTTTGAGCCTTGCATTGTGAAGAAATATTTACTCTACTGGTTGTACGGTAGAACGAACGATGTCTTTGAATCGACTTCCGTTTGGGTAGATGATGATATATCCCACATAGGAACCTCCCAACCATGTTCTGTTCTAATGAGTGTGCTTTCTCTGATCGTGGGTCACCATTCCTGGTTCTGCAAGAGCTTCTAAAGAATTAAGCTTATTCAATTCTCATTTAAAGCGACCCTCACTTCTCTTTCACATAGGTGATTATTTCCGGAGTATCTCGCATATTCACACATGTCATCCGACATTTGAATCATTAAAGCATCATCGTGCTAGCCTTGTGTGGGAGTCACTGTTCTAACGAGGAGTGGAAGGGAGTTCGAGACCCTCACAGTGACACGCTTCGTTCCATAATTTAGTTGTCCCATTGAACCTAGGTGCCAGCTAGGTCGGGTATCCACTATAGAACTTTATTCCAAGGACTTTTGACCCATTCCTCGTGTCAACTTCTCGGTCAACTCTCTACTTAACCCTTTGGTTAACGGATCCGCAACATTGTCTTTTGACTTTACAAAGTCAACAGAGACAATATCAGTTTTGAGAACTTGTTTAATGGTATTATGTCTACGATGTATATGTCTAGACTTACCATTATACATATGACTCTATACTCTACCAATCATGGCTTGACTATCACAATCCACACATATTGGAGGTACATGTCTTTCCCAACTAGCAATATCCTCGAGAAAATGGCATAGCCATTCAACCTCTTCACAACATTTGTATAAGGCTATCAGCTTATATTCTATCGTGGATCTGGCTATCAAGGTTTGCTTCGAGGATTTCCATACAACGGCTGCACTGACTAACGTGAACACATAGCCACTCGTGGACTTAGAATCCTTAATGTCCGATATCCAGTTAGTGTCACTATACCCTTCGAGTACCACAGGATATCTTGTATAATGCAGTCCAAGGTCAGGTGTACTCCTTAGGCATCTCAACCCTCACAATTGCCTTCCAATCATATTAACTACTTGGGGAGGATTTGTTGACAAATAGGGTATTCAAATAACCCAATAAATTGAAGTGAAAAACAACATCGTAATATCTCTGGACTACATCATAGTTGTTCACATTATGTATAGATTTTTACTACCTTACCTAATCTTATTCAATTCCTTAAATAAACTAGAAATTTCTCTATCCACAAGAACTAATTCAACAATAACATTTGAACCAAAAGTACCATGAGCAGAACACTTAAAGGACTGGTATGTTTTTATGTTGATAATAATATGTAAATGGTAATTAGATCATTATCTTATGTAGCTATATTTAAAACTCAATACTAAAATGTCAATATAGGTCAATAGAACATCGTGACACACTTGATGCTTTGAAAAGATGCCGAGACTACAAGAATCCTGAAATCAATCTTGCAAATCCAAAAAATGAAGAAATTTAAAAAATAGACACCGTTGTTGCAGTATTCATTGATCCTGTATGTAAAATACCTATTATGCACCCTTCAAATATAATAAAACTAATATAAATTTACAATTCATTTCATTTTTTAGACTTAACTTGTTTGGATTAAAGGCAAAATCAAGATCAATCTTGACAACCAAAACGCTTAGTATATAGGATGTAGGCACTGTTTAAAAAAAGTCTATGCACAAAGTGACAAACTATTTAATTGCACGCATTGTGGTGAAAATGCACCAGTGGGTACTCCAAGGTTAGTATCAATTCAACAAAATATATTTTACAAAAAACACAACACACATACACAAAAAATCAAGTACTACACTCAGTCATACTAATTTCAAAAATATTTGCAAAATGGATGTGGAAATTGTTGATGAAACTAGACACATTGCGGCATTAGTATTCGAACTACATGCAAAGTTATTTTTGTTACTATCAAGTAAAGAAATTATGAAACTAGAACACGAGGTACTACTCATGAACCTTCTACAAATATAATATATATTAATATTGTGTTCAATACTATCGCATGAGAATCTACGACACACATCTCACAACACATGAAACATGTAGGGGAAAAACTATCACTACCAAATATCAACAGGCATTTACAAGATCAAGAGTTCATAGTACAACTATGATCCCAGTCATATACACAATAAGGCAAATCCACAGCTTCCTACACTGTAATCTCATTGCATAACACTTCCTTCTATGCTACCACCAGCAACCCAATTGCACATGACGCACTACCAATAAAAAAGAAGAGGACAAGTACTGAAGATGAAGACAATGATAATGCTACCCAAAAGGAAATTAAGAAGACTTAGAGAAATTCAAACAAAAAGTAATATTTATTTATACTAACATTTTTAGACTAAGTATTTAGACTAATGTTTTTACAAAGTTGTGAACATTTAATTTAGTGACAATTATAATAAATCTCTCTTATATCATCTTTCATTTATATACTTTGAATTATCGATTTAAATAAACAAATTCAATATTTAATTACCTATGCATGAACATCTTCTATATAATCTTGCATTTATATACTTTGAAGTACTAATTTAAAAATAAACATTGCGCATTATATATTCACACAGTGCGTGTGAAAAACTATTAATATTTACAACTCACAACACTGGGTTGCACAACCAGCACACCCGAATGCACAAACATACTAACTAGACATGTGTACATATACACTAACATCGAAATATATGCAATATTATACTCAAAAGAATGAGTGAAGAAAAAATAACAAATATTGATCGCATTTCATGGACAAACACTCGATCGATGATGAAAAAATCACGGCTCCAAATCGCAACGGTGATGAACCAAAAAAATAGGAAACAAATTTGGTCCTTGAATATCTTGCTCATATCAATTTATCTTCCTTATCAATCCAGGGATTATCACCTTTGACCTTGAACACATTAGGGGTCAAACCAACGAACAAATCCACATCCACATCCACCACTGATTCCTCCCTAAAATCGAAAAAAAAAATCATCAACTTATCAAATTGGACTATAAGCAATACAAATACTCACATTTTTGGATTCACACAGCCAAAACCTGCGGCATGAATTGTCTTTTGTCCATGAAGTGAAAATCTTCAATTATTGTCCACACTGACAACTATGCCTCATTGAAGATTCTCCATTTTCTGTGACACCACAAAAAT